CTTGAAGACCCTGAGCCCTAAACCCCTAAACCCTAAACCGCATCTAAGAGGATTTTCCAACAATGAGCCCTCGCTCTATGGCAATTTGCTCTTAAGCTCGACCACGACAGGCGACTGCTGCTTCGGGGTCTTCAGGGTTTAGGGATTTACCCTTACTGGTTTCGAGTTAGGGTTGGGTGGTTGACCTTATGAAGCAATCTGCATATATGCCTCCTCCGAATTGGCCGTACTATCTTCAGGGATTAGGGTTTGGGTATGTCCTGGCTTGGGGTACATATAGTACTTTCAGTAAATAGGGGGACCCCAATACAGACCCCAAAATACTACAGTCCTTGCTATAGGGGGCCCCAAAGTGGTACTCAGAATTTTGGGAAACCCCCCCAAATACAGCCATGCTTACAACTGACTCCGACTCTAAGAAGGCCTGGATAAGGGTCCAAGGATCCAAATAACAGGGTTTTGGGGCCAAATACGATTAGTATTATAGTATGTGGGTTCTAAGTTCTAACATCCTATTATTTGGGTCCTTGGACCCTTGGGGAACTGCTATTGTAGATAACATTTGTGTTTCGTAGCATGCCTCCTAGCTCTGTATTAGCCTACCACGTTCATCACACGCATGAGCAGATCGCAGGAAAACTTGCTGAAGCCGATCCATAGCCAGGCCAACCAGCAGGTCATCCATGCAAAAGGATGCGCATCGCAACATGATTTTTGGCCGTAGTTTTCGATAGCTCACTGGTGAGCACTTAAACCCTCAACCCTAAACCCTCAACCCGCAACCCTAAAACCTGAACCTTAAACCCTAGGGATCAAGATGGTGGTAGAGGACATCAGCCAGAAAGCCGGAGCATGGGGATGGTGGCAATCGGAGGTGTGGAAGAAGTTCCAAGTGCTTCTTGCGTGGAATTCATGCTCGCTTTGGAAACCGCCCAGCGGCGCACCCTAAACCCTAAACTCTTATCCTAAACCCTAAGCCCAAGCGCAAAGCCTGAACCCTGAGCCTGAAGCCCTTGAAGCCAACTCTGAGGGCAAACATTCTCGTGGCTTTAGCGGTTGGGTTTAGAGTTTACGGCTCAGGGTTGAGGGTCTAGGATTTAAGCTTTGGGGTAGGGGGTTGAGGGTTTAGAGAGGGAGGGTCTAGAGTCTAGGGCTCAGGGGTAGGGGTTTATAACCCTAATCCCTAACCCCAAACCCAAAACCCTTTAGCAACCCCAAGCCCTAAACCTGGGATCTTGTTCTCGTGATGTGATGGCTTTAGGGTTCTTAATACAGGGGTTGGCATCACCCACATAATCCCCTTAGTAGTTCAGGGTAAAATCGTCTTCTTCCAAATGACGGTCCAAATCCCAAAGTCCACTAAATTGCCATCTGCGAAAAGCCGTACTCCGTGCCGTTTTGGTTTTCCCAAAACCGAGGGACCTCCTTACCCAAATCAATTACATTGAAAGCATCTGGAACCTCAAATCACATTTTCAAAGCTAGATGGAGGAAGGGTTCTCTAGCAAGATTTTGCGAGATCATATGTGGTACAAGATTGCTCCTCCGCCCGCCGCGGCAAGACATGCGCAGCACAAACATCTAGGCCTTCAGACTTAAAACCCTCAACCTCAAACCTTGAGACTTAATGCCCTCAACCTTGAACCCTAAACCCTAAACCCTAAACCCTAAACCCTAAACCCTAAACCAGGTGTAGCCTTTGCCGTCGACAGAGTCGCCGGAAAGGACGCTTGGCTTGTCAGGCTTTACTTAGTTTCTAATTAGGGGCTTTGGAGACTTGGTATGTAGGTTATAGGGAGTTATTTAAGGGGTTATAGAATACGTAGGGATATAGGATTTTTGGGTTTAGGGTTTAGGTTCAGGAGACTTAGTATACAAGTAGGTTATAGATGCGGTTGTGAGCGGACTAACCCTAATAAAGGGATTTAAAGTCAGGCGTAGGATACAATACGCTGGATTTTGGCAACCCCATCACGGTGTCTGTAGGCTATATGCGATTACGCATATACACACAGACACATATTTTTTTGAATCGTTGAAGACCCCGGGTGAAGGATGCATGTCAGAGGCACATACCGTACTTAGAACTTGGAGAGTGAAGGGCTCCGTGTCGTGGCTCCAGGATTGAACCCCAGAAGGGGTCCTGTAAGGATTGCCGTCCTTGTAAATGTGGCTTTATGGGTTTCATGTTGCCTTGGGGAAGTGTAGGATTGTGAGTTTGCCTGCGCATTCGTACCTCAATTGCAACTTAATGCGTCTTGGCTTGTTCTACCCTACTAGTGAAGCCCATCTGCAAGTCTGCTCCTCAAATCCTCAAGTTCATGGGGCTTGAAAAATTTATGATTTTGGGGTGGTCAAACAGAACCCTCACAAGCCAAGTGAAGTCGAAATTCAAAGCTTGAAACCACGCCGCAGGGGCTAAGGTCGTATCAATGGCTAGCATGACTTGTACATTTACATCAGTGTTTATTGTGTGTATGATTTTGCCTGAACCCTAAACCCTACATACTATGCACAGGACCTAATTAATTAAAGCTGGCCTGGAGCCCCCCCTTTAGGCTTTAGAGTTTAGGGTTTAATGTTTTCTTCTCCGTCTTTGAAACGATTACGCTTACTTGAGCTATAGTCTAAACTCCCTCAAGGGCGTTTTATATGGGAGATGATATGGTTTAGAGTTTAGGTAGGGTTTAGGGTCTAAACTCCTGCAAAGGGATTTATATGAGGGATTATACAGGGGACTAGTATAGGGGTGATCAAGGGGGATACCAGAAGTTTAGACCATAAGTCTTTTGGTTTTGCGCAATTAGTGCTCAACAAGCATGGAACCTAAGAAGGTCCCTAAACCCTAAACCCTAAACCCTAAGGTCCGAGCCCCTAATCATCTTGTTGTCAATGCGGGGGTTCCTCTTTTGGGCACCTCTTGGGTTTACCTTAAACCCATAAGGGTTTAGGGTTTAGGGTTTAGGGTTTTTTAGGACTTTATAGTATACATCTTTATATGGAATCCTGAAACTGGAGATCTTTAAAGTCTAAGGTAGGGTGTATTTAATAGTATGCTAAAAAGGTCTGGGGTTTGGGTGCAGTTGTGTGGCTTGGCACAACAGTTTGTCTGATATGAGACTTTAAGTAACGAGTTTCGTGCCGCACCATAATCCCTTTGTCAGCCTACCAGGATATACCCCCTGCAAGGCTGATCTAAATCCTACATTGTCCTCGACACTAAATCTTGCTCTGAACTAACCTAAGCCCCTTCAACCCTAAACCCTAAGCCTTCAACCCTAAACCCGCTAGACCCTAAGCCTGCAAACTCTAAACCCTAAGCCGTAAGCCCTGAAACCTGCAGCCCTACAACCCTACTTGGAGGGTCAGTGAGACTTAGTAAGTAGGTTAATAATGGGGATAGCTAGGGTTACTATATGGGCTATAGGGGTTATTAACCTACTTACTAAGTCCCCCTGACCCTCCAAGTAGAAACAAAATCCTAGAATGCAAACATGTGAGCCATAGTCTAAACTCCTTAAAGAGGGGTTATATAAGGGATTATATAGGAGACTACTCTAGGGGTTATTAAGGGGGATACTAGGAGCTTAGACTATGGCTACATGTAACCTCCTAAAGCGCGCAAAGGTCGCCTGGACAACTCAACTAGCCGACTCTAGCTCAACCGATTGTGGCTCCTTGGAATGCCGATATCACGAGTAAGAATTTGGTTTCTTCTGGGTTGCTGTTAAGGAACTTAATTTAAGTTACTAAAATTGGGAAACCATACCCACTACTATATCAAGGGAATAGGGGAACACAATCCCCATAAAATCCCTGTATAATAGATTCCCTTATTCCCTAGGTCATCCCTATATGACCCCTATATAGTCCTTTATACCCTTAGACTCCCTAGTCTGGTTTCGTTCCGTAGGGTTTAGGGCTTTTCATGTGGGAGTTTCTGTTTACATGGTTAGGGCTTCGTTTTTTAGTTTTAATGGCTTAGGACTTTTGATTTGCGGTCCAGGGTTCAGGGCTGTTGGTCTGGGGTTGATGGCTTAAGGGTTTAGGGCCTAGGGTTTAGGGTTTAGGGCTTCAGTTGAAAGATTTCGGGTTTTTGGTTTGGGATCTTGGGTTTAAGGCTTTCGGGTTTAGACGCTGGGGCTAAGGGTTTGTTTACTTCTCCCTGCTCCCGCTCAAACGGAACCGCACAACAGCCCTGCAAAGATCAACCCTAAACCCTAATGTTCCTTCAGGAGAGCCCCAACCTTTGAGGTTTACGGATCCAAGTTTTGCACGCTAAAAAACTATAGTATCCTTAGGGCTTAGGGCTTAGAATTTTTCATATGTTAGTATAACCCTACGGGATTACTGAAGGTATTGATTTCAAGTATATAGATCTAAAGGGACTACAGAAAAGCCTATGGTCCTCTTAAGAGTCCTACATCCCTTTCCAGCACTGGGCTTCGGGCTCAGCAGTTTTTGCCATCCGCAAAACAGTCATGGAACTTTGCAAAAAATGCATGCAAAGACCGGCTCTTGGCTGCGGGGTAGCCCGAAATCCTAAACCCCAAGCCTGTATTTAAGGCCTGGATAGGCCCCTGGGATATTTGATATTTTCCCTAATGGCTTCAATAGGGGACCATATATACTAACATTTTTCAATGGGTTTCAGGGGCCAACCGAGGCTTGCCTAGTTTGGGGTTTTAGGGGATCTCAGCCTTTTGAGCTTTCGTAAGGTATGCCAGCGCGCTGCATGTTTTGATAAGCTGGCAGATGTTTTGTGCCAGGGGCTGGACTTGTTTTATCTTCCGCGGCTAAAGATGCAGGCGTGCGTTCTGGGTGCGCTTTACATGCTTGGATTTGAGGATCTCAGGTTCAAGAGTTGGGTATCAGTGTTGATTGCAGGGATTGAGGCTATAACTCCCAGCCATATTCTATCTACTTAAGGGGGACTACAGTGGCTTAGGGTGTAAAGGTTCAGGTAAACCCAACGAGATAATCCCAAGCGCCGGAATTCCAGGCTATCCTGCTGCACACAAAGACGTAAGGCCCTCAGACGGATGCACGCACCTGTGCTTTCTGTGCTTCGGCTTTCTGCTGAACTCGAGACCCTAAGCCATGCGGGTTCAAGAAAGTATGGCCTAGCCGCTATGGAAGGGGTAAGGGTTGGGTCAATCCCCCACCTAGTAATGGGTACCACAAGGGACTATTGTAGGTATATTAAGGCCCTAATAATTCCTTATTGAGGAGCCATTACTATAGGGGGGATTGACCTAAGGTAAGGGCTAAACCCTAAACCGTAAACCCTAAAACCCTAAACCCTAAACCCCTTGGCCATCGGTTACGATTCAGAGTTTCGGGGGAAGCATGCCCCAAGCCCTTCCACTGACTGTTGCAGGTTCCGCAGAGAAAACCCTAAAGTGGCAGTTTGGAGAAGGTCAGTTTAGGGTTTAGGGTTTAGTGGTGTTGGCACGCCACCGCACAAAATAGAATATCAGGACGGTGGGCAAGTATCTCGGGGAGAAGGGCGGGGGTGATGTTCTTCAGCTATTCAGGCCCATACCACGCAGTTAAAGTCGGGTTGAGGGTTTGGGGTTTGGGTTTCGGGTTCATATGGGGAGTATGTTGTTGTTTAGAGACTGAGAGTTATAAGGAGTAAAGAGGGGCTATGTGAGCCATAGTCTAAGCTCCTAGTATCCCCCTTAATAACCCCTAGAGTAGTCTCCTATATAATCCCTTATATAACCCCTCTTTAAGGAGTTTAGACTATGGCTCATGTAGGGTAGTTTGGATTAGGGGTCCCTTCTCGGTGTTCCTCCTCTGAGCCCCTACGACATTTAGGGTTTAGGGTTTAGGGTTTAGGGTTTAGGGAGGGATCACTCGGCATCTCAGCATCTTGTCTACTATCCCTGAACCCGAAACCTTATTCTTGAAGGGCCCAAGGGATATGTGGGGATTGGGAGGGGATTCTGGAGATCCTTGCTAGGGATTATGTAGGGACTTTATCATTGCGCACACGATCTTGCTCCAAGCAGCCCATTTTCCAGACACGCGCCAGGACGGATTACGGTGGTTATTGCATACCTGATATCATAGGGGTTGCCAACCCTAAACCCTGAACCTTTTCCTTAAACCCAAACATTCTATTTACAAAGCTCACCGACTGATTGCTGTTGATACTAAAGGCCCTGCATGAACTTAGTCTGCTGTAGCACCATGCTGTACCGTCACGCAGGATTTTAGTGTCCACCCTACAAACCCCTACATAATCGCTCTTTCCATCTAATGTCCCATTTTCTTTTCCACTTGCTTCTCCGTTATTGGGGCCATATATCTCTAAACCCTACACCCTAATGTCAGTTTCCATGTTTTTGTCTATTATTCCTATTTAACCCCATATGACCCCTATACAACGCTTCTTGGTGACCCTATTGTAATCTGGTAGTTTGCATTGTCTTTCCCAGTTTTGGTATATACTCTTCACTATTACGCCTAAATCCTATACCCGAAACCCTAAACCTTAGTAGTAATTTCCATTCTGTTTTTCATGGCGTAATTTCCCCAGAAGAGTCGTAGTTTCAGGTCTTTGTCGTTGGCGCCGTGTTCGGTGCCGACCCGCGTATCGCCGGAGGCGGCAACCAGACACTTCGGCATGCACAATATGAGGCTTCAGGGTCTAGGGCTTAGGGTTATAGGTATGATGGAAAAGAAAATCGAAACTACTATATGAAAAAGAGTTATATATAAGGATTAATATTCGGGTTATATATATATATAGGAAAACTGGAAAAGATAATGGAAACTACTCTTTGGGCCTTAGGGTTTAGGGATATAAAGCCCCAGTATTGGAGAATCAAACGCAAAAGAAAAGGGAAATGAAATGAAACTGAGAGGAGAAAGGGTGTCTCCAAATTAGGGGTAAGTACTGTATTCGGCTCCCAGAATGAAAGGACGAAAATAACATTTTGAATTCTATATTGGACTCCCCATGTATGCAAACTACCCTATTTGTTTGATACCTTCCTATATTTTCACATCATGTTTACGCCTGTCATGCACATGCAAGTAATGGATCGTGGGGGATTCTTGTCACTGCACGAACGGATTGTCAGGTTTCAGGGCCAGCTTTGGGGCTCTGTAGGCCCACACCTTGAACTACCCTAAACCCTAAAGGGTTTTGGGTGTATAGTCCCCCTTAAGTAGATGGCTTTGGGTATATTATAACAAGAGCCCCCCATATACCCCATATTCTATCTACTTAAGCGGAATTACAGAATTAAAAGGTTCAATAGGGTGTACTTAAGGTTTGTCTAGGGGTGAGAGGTTAAGGATCTGGTGTAGGGGAGGCTTAAGGTTTGGGGTGCACCCCAAGCTGTGTTGTGGAGCTGGTGGGAGGCCTTTGCCTATGACACGGCATCAGGCGCAGGCTTTCAGAATGTATGGGGTTACTGTTAAGGAAGTTAAGCTTCAGCCACTATAGTGTGGATATATGGCAAATCATGAGGTGGCTTTTGATAGTAATTCAGTTTGAGCTTCGTAACAGCAACTCTGCAAGTCATGTCTTAGCGTTGCATGTAAAGATGTTTGCATGAGCATAAAGTTTGGATGCTGGACATTAAACTAGTCGCTGCTAATTTAATGGAACAATGCTTGCACGTTGTGGCCACGGATTAGCACTGGAATTATGGGGGAATTATATTGGGGGCACGGTATTTTGGAATTTCGCGGATAATCACTTCATACTAATAGCATACACCCGCCCCACACCTAATATTAGATATGTCCCGAGAACATGAGGTCTCTTATGGGTAACATCGAATATCTTCAGGAGTGGGGGAAGGTGTTTCATATTCGTATGAGCCATAGTCTAAACTCCTAGTATCGCCCTTCATAACCCATAGAATAGTTCCGGATACAATCCCCTATATAACCCCCTTTACGGAGTTTAGACTGTAGATCATATTGGCATGAAGGGATTACGTTCTCGGGCTTGGTTACGGCCCCCACCCCCATCCCCCCCCCACCCCAATATGATTGGAGAACTTTGGGCAGTATCAGGGGGTTCCATTTTTTGAATCCTTTAGGGGGTCTGGGGTAGCCTTACCATGATATTTGGTTGTTATAACCTTAATGACAACCAACAATTCTAATTCCGTGTGGGGTTCTGCGGCCGGTTTAGTTGGAGGGTCAAGCGGGCTCAGTCAGTAGGTTCGTAACTCCTATACGCCACAAGAAAAATGCAGTTCGCCCCAATTTGAACCCATTTACCAAGTCCCCCTGACCCTCCAAGCAAGCAGAAAGTCAATGGGTATACCCGAAACCCTAAACCCTAAACCTTAAACCCTAAACCCTAAACCTTAAACCCTAAACCCTAAGCCCTAAACCTTAAACCCTAAACCCTAAACCCTAGCGCCCTCCATTGTCCTAAGCCCTACAACCCCCTTCCTAAACCCGAACCCCTTTTCATCCTAACCCCAACCCCAAAAGGCCAATTCTTGCTCAAATCTATGAACCTTAGGGTTTAGGGTTTAGGGTTTAGGGTACATTCCAATATGAATGTTACACAAGGTGCCCTAAGAAATGAGCACAAGCAAGCAGATGGATAGAGTATCTCGCTGAAGCTTTCTTAGCATCCCTCCAGAAGTTAAGGATATAGTCCACCTTAAGTAGATAGAATATGGGGTATGTTATTGGGGTTATATATAGGGATAATGGAAAAGAAAATGGAAACTACTATATTATAATAGGGTATGTATTGGGGTTATAGTCCCCCTTAAGTAGATAGAATCTGGCTTTGGGTAGAATATGATAGGATCCCCACATACCCCATATTCTGTCTACTTCAGGGGGATTATATTCCCGCGCAGAAGCTCATGCTCGGGCTTGTGTCTTGTCTTGCAAACGTCTAAGCGAAAATCTGAACTCTCCGCACCTGAGCGCATCTTGACCGCATGTCCCAAGGCCTACTGGCCTACTAAGCCCTTCTAAGCCCCAATTTTTCAAAACCTAAACCATATGTCCCTGAATCCACCGCCCCCATTCCCCTCGCCCCAAATCTCAGCACCCTAGACTCCATAAGTCCTAAACCCTAAACCCGAATCCACCTACCTCCTAAGCCCGTAGCAAAGTGCGCAAATCCCAGGAAAGTCTTCGGCCTGGATGTGAACACAGGAGGGTCTAGGATTACCTGTGGTTGGTGGAATGGAAAAGAAAATGGAAATTAGGATCTAGGTGTTTGGGGTATTGGGTAGGGAGTGAAGGAATGGGAAGGACAATGTAGATTACTACAATACTTACTGGTTCTTTGTAGGGAATAAAGAAATACAATCCCTATATATTCCCCGTATAGTATAGTCCCTTATTCCGTACTCAGAACCAGTAAGAATATTGGTGTTTAGTTATATAGTCACCCTTCAGTAGATAAGAATATGGGTATATGGGAACCTTATTATTACAATCCCAAAGCCATATTCTATCTACTGAAGGGGGACTATAGGGCTACTATGAGGATCAATCCCTCCATTGCTCGAGGTAAGTAGGGTTGTATGTGGTTTTAAAAGGATTTGTGCGGCTATATGGCTGTACAGGGTGTATGTAGGGATAGGACCACTGCCCAAGGGCGCTTTGGGATATAACATGGTGTTTTTTGCTTTCAAGGGGATTGATGGGGTTACCGTATATAGGGTGTATGTAAAGATACATAAGGAGAGAGAGAGAGAGAGATCCTTAAACACCACATATACATGCATGTACATATATGTTTGCGGTGCAGGGCCTCAGGGTTTGGGATTTGGCGTTCAGTTGTTTTGACTCAGTGTCGAGGATTACAGGCTTTCTTGCCGTTTAAGGTTTAAGGGCCTAATATACTATAGTAGTTTCCATTTTCTTTTCCATTATCCCAATATAACCCCAATACATTTAAGGGCCTGATATACTATAGTAGTTTCCATGTTCTTTCCCATTATCCCAATATAACCCCAACATAACCCTTATAATCCCTATATATCCTATCATAATCCCAATATAACCCCTATAATCCTTATAAAACCCAATATAACCCCAATGTAGCCCCTATACAACCTTAAGAGTTTTCCTTGGAGGGCTTGAGCGCCATAGGGTTTCTGGAGGACTCCAGGGATTGTAGTATGGTAGGGTTTTAGGGTTTAGGGTTTTACGGTTTTAGGGTTTTGGGGTTTAGGGTTTAGGGTTAATTAATGGTTTAAGGTTTGGGGTTTTGGAGGGTGTATCAAAGAAGAAGGCTGCGTGTTTGGAGGACCCCAAAAAGGAATCGTGCCCTAAACCCTGAACCTCGAACTGGAAAGCTAAAATCCCTTTCTTTAGCTCGCCACCCCGTGACCCTCAGCTTCAATGCTTCAATAACAACGTTCTCTATCCGCCACAGGAGCAATAAAAGGAATTCGCAATGTGCCCCCAACCCTAAACCCTAAAGCCTAAAACCTAAACCCTAAAGCCTAAAACCTAAACCCTAAAACCTAAATCCTAAACCTTGAGCAGTTGTTTGCACGGGCCACCCTTAGAACCTTTTTAGTCGAAGAGACTCACCCACTGTTGAAAAGGCAAAATTCCCCCAGACTACCATGAGTACCCGCATAGATCCTTTAGCGATGGCTCTAATGACCAATCACAGAACCCTAAACCCTGAACCCTGAACCCTAAACTCTAAACGGAGGGTGAATTACCTTGTCCCTCCCCTCTCCCTGATAATAAAGCCTCCAAGAACATAAATTCCCAATATAGTACCACTATATCATAAAGCGGATCTGTACCAGAAGGCTGGTGGGTCCTAAACCTAAACTGTGGGGGTTTATGACTAAGGGGGAGGGAGTGATTATTTCACGGTTTAGGTCTTCAGTTTAGGATTTAAGGGGGAGGGTTTAGGGCTTTTCGCTTTCAGTTTACGGTTGAAGGTGGCTTCAGTTGAGTACTAGGTTGGGGTCAAATGATCACGGGAAGCCCTGGATGCTAAACTGAAGCAATCCCTTCATACAAATATTAAATGCCCCCGACCCAAAAATATTGAGTTTTTCCCCATACGAGACCGTATATGTTGGGGGACACTTGTTAGTGAGGCTGGAAGGGGTTTTAGTGACAGTGGGAAGTGAATAGTTCTCAGGGTCACGGTATGCATGGGTCAGTAGAGTTACCACGACCGTCCTGTTAAAATTAGAGCAGGAACATCAGCAAACTTGGATATGTGGAGAGAGAGAGGGTTTCCGGGTATGAGGATTAAGCTTTTGTGGTGCAAGGTAGATTCAGGTCTTAGGTATGGGGAGACGGTACAACCGGTTCTTGAGGTATAAACGGCAGTGCATGGAGCGCATCTTGCACTGCCTTGTGCTACTGTCAATATTGGGGTTACCAAGGGACCATGAAAGGTGGACGCATGGGTCCCTTTTGGTAGTTTGTTTAGTCCCTAATACAACCCCTGATGGGGCACCCATGTCCATTAATCACATTGGAAATATTTGCTGTAGCTCACGTTAGCTATCATTAATATTGTTGTTAGCATGAAATTACTAGCGGTGGACATACAGTTCCTTTCGGTAGTATCCTTAGCTACCCAAGAAAGAAAGTTTTGAGGCAATCAAACTTTTGCCACGCAGTTCTGGGTCAAAACCCTAAACCGCAAGACTTCAGGATTAAACTTTTACAGATCCTTACCTTGGGTCCCTTGTTGCCAAACAGGGCAAGGGACACTCTCTAGGTGCACTGGAGCCACTGAAGGCTTCTCAATCAAGAGCCTTGATCCGGAATGCACAATCCTAAAGCTTTGAATTCCAATCCTTGGCAGGACATAAGCTGTGGGAATACGCTCCGGACAACGTGGTTTGGAATTTTTCGCCTCTGTTCCTGGACGCAAAATCTGACTTTCTCAAATCTGGGCACATGTGTGGCTCATGCTGACAATGGGATGATCGTTGTGGACTTCTTTCTCATAGACAGGGTGACGAATCGAATAGCTATTAGGTGTGTACCATGAAGGGTGCCGTCGCTGTGCCAATATCGCAACGCGCAATGCCATCCGGGCCAGTTAGGTGACAATCTGTTCAAGCCTCTTGCAACACTCACTCATGCTTCTCATGTACATCGCACGACCCTAAATATACCATGTTAACTACTTCACTCTTGCTGTCTGTGTTCAGGTGACAATGACCAAACAAGTGCATTTCTTAAGATATCGGACGCCTTTCTGGGAGTCCCTGTACGAAGCAGAGCTCACCCTACCTGACCCCAAATGGTTGTTTCTGTAGACGTAGAAATGATATCCGGGTTAGAACTATAGAACAATTGACATCTGGCGAAGCGAAGCCCATCCTAAATCCTAAGTCCTAAACATTAAGCTGCAAGTGTGGGACTCGTTTTCTACACCCTACCGGGAAGCTCCTTGGGAGCTATAAATGGGATTTGGGAGTTTTAAGTCTCAGGCCTTGCTCTTCGTAGTCTTACTTGGGTTTAGGGTTTAGGGTTTAGAGTTTAGGGTTTAGGGTTTAGGGCTTAGAGTTTAGGGTTTAGGGTTGAGTGTGCATCTAGGACTTTAGACTTCAGGCTGTTGTCTTCATCAAGTAGGTCAAGCATCAAAGATGGGCTAGGCTAGTCGGGTTAGAAGTGTCTTGTTATTCAGTGGCTAAGAACTGCCAGTGGTGGTTTTGAAATACGATGGATTGCTTGCTGGGCTCTAACGACCGGCTTGCGGGTTGAGGGTTTGCGGTGTAGGGCTTGGGTTTAAGGACCCCTCCCCCAAACGAACATGGAACTACAAAAAGGCCCAACAAAGGTTTCGGACTTCTGTCTGCGCAAAAAGAAGGCTTTATCAGGTTACATGCTAGCTTGGTGGAGGGAAAGGTGTTGGGGCTTAGGGTTTGGGGTTTAGGATGGGCAATGGTTTAGAGTTTGGCGGCTTTAGGTCATGAAGTCTAAAGGTTATGCTGTCTAAGTTTAATTCAGTCGATTCAGTCTAGCTATTACCAGACAGAAAAACCCCAAAACCCTCGACCGTAACCCGAAGCCCTAAGCCCCCCAAAACCCTAAAGCCCCAACCCCTAAATCCTACACCCCAAACCCCTAAAAACCCTAAACCCTAAACCCTAAACTCTTCAGATTTCTGAGCCCCAACTTTCACCTTGGTCGCCTGTATGAGTTCAGGTTCCCAGACGACCAGTCCGTAGTGTTCATGGACTTTAGAGGCGGTTTAGGATTTAGGGTTCAGGAGTTTCGGCGCTTTTGGGGTGTAGGGATTATGGCGTTTAGGCTTATTTGGGGTTTAGGGATTTGGGGTTTCGGGCTTTGGGGTCTAAGGTTTGGGGGCTTAGGTTTTTTTCATTGTGATTTTTGGGCGGGTTTTGAGTGAGTTTTGCGTTTTGCTTTTCGGCTTTATACAATTTCTGTTTATTCGGGGCTTGAGGGTTTAGGGTATAGGGGTGGCAGCGAACTCTAGCATCAGTGCTTGTTCAGGGCTAGTTAATCGGTTTAACGTACTTTAGAGACCCAAGCAAGTAGTATTGTTTAATCGAGAAACTACAGGGTTTCGGATTTTCAGCGCGTCGGAGTTGGGACCTTAGTGGCCCTAGTGAGTAGTACGTGGGCCTAAAGAGGTTTTGGAACAAGGGACAAATCACATGGAGAAGAAAACTGAAGATGAGATGGATGCTGGGTTCATAAGTAAGTAGCGAACCTCCTTATAGTAGTTGAATAGGGGTTATGTATGCCAGGGTTTTTAGGGTTTGTAAGGGTTTCAGGTTTTCAGGATGGGTTTGAGATTTACCTGAGCCCTTATGTGGAATAAGAGCCTTCAGGGCTGATTATACGGGATATAGGGGTTTAAGGTTTCTTTTTTTCTCCTACTTGTGAGGTTCGGGTAATGGGGATACCGCTGGAAAATACTGCAGGGTTTCTGGTTCAGGATTTCGCATAGGTACGCCATATTCCTCAATATAGAGTAAGATTATAGTCTCCTTGTCGAGGTACTTTTTCCAGGAAGCGTATACTCTTACACGAAACACGAGTCAGGTGGGGTTTGGCTGATTGTAGGGAAAAAAAGAGCAAGATTACACGCATCATTTTACCTTTAAAGGGCTACATCTCTGAACTCTAAAACCAGATTACTATTGGACTCCATTGCTCCATGCCCTACCCTCCCCCTCCCTCCCCCCTCCCTCCCTCTCCCTCCCCCTCCTCCCTCCCCCCCGACCCCCTCCCCAAGGGGGTTCGTAGCGAAACCCATGATATTCTAGATATCTCTCGTAGGGGATGACGGAATAAATCCTTTTGTAATCCCTATAGCATTCATATACTCCCTTTTTCCCTACTGACCCCAAGTAATTTAAATTATTAAATTTCCCTTCGTATTCCAAAAATCACCTTTCAAAAAAAAGACTGCACTTACTTATTTACAGTTATACTTGTAGTTGTACTGCTTACAACCTTTCTTATGACCATCCATGAGGTTTTTGGTTGAGTAGAGCACAATCCGCTTCTTGCGTTGTGCTGGTTTACGGTTTAGGCTCTATAGTGTTTGGGTGCAGACATGCTTGGAAGGGTCAGGGGGGACTTTGTAAGCATATGTAGCCTCTCGAAGCCGCATCACAGCCTCAGCTATTTCCAGCTCTACAACGCGGATCGCCGGTCGGTAGGTTTTTGATTCAGTGCATTCGTTACAGCAATACGAACCATACACCCTAAACCCGAAATCCAGACCGAAAACGTTGGTAGCTCACAGAATCCACTGCCAAGACCGTGGACATGGTCGAGCTGCACCACTACACCAAAGTTCAACCTGGTTTCTGAATAGTAATTTAGTGTTTCTCAAAGGTTGTTTTGGCAACCCCTTACTCTTGAGTTTATAGTCCCCCTTAAGTAGATAGAGTATGGGGTATATAGGGAGCTTATGATAACGTACCCGAAGCCATATTCGATCTGCTTCAGGAGGACTACAAGGTTCTGGGGTTTGGGGTCTTGGGTTAGTGTGGGGTTTAGCCCTAAAACTCCCTTCCCGAAAGACAGAACAAGCAGCTCCAGGCTGTAACCGAACGCGGTTCAAGGGTTTAGGGTTTAGGGTTCCATAGCCATTTGATGCGTTGAAGCCATGGAGCAATGGCATATAGGTGGTTGTCGAAATTATGGTCCCTTTTTGGGTACCCTAAATATTAGGTGCCGTACTATAATAGGGACCCAAAAGGGGACCATAATTTTGACAACCACCCATATCTTTTTATGCAAGGGAAGCAGCAACAAAGATTCTTCGTTTCATCCCAGGGGCCTTAGGGGCTAAGTTAACCTGAAGGGTTTTCCTAACGCCCGGGCTTCGTGGCCAGCAGGTGGGATGTATAAGCTGGCTCTGTCCACCGGCCAGGACCTGTGGTGCCCAAGGGGGTGGTTGTCAAAAATGATGGTCCCTTTTTGGGTACCCTAAATATTAGGTGCCTACTATAATAGGGACCCAAAAAGGGNNNNGACCAGAATTTTGACAACCACCTAAGGGAATTTAGGGATGTATGGGATTGTAATGAAAACTGTATTCATGATCGTATGGAATATTGAATTTAGGAAGCATCTAAATATCATGGTTTCAGTGAGAGCCACCCACATAACTTCTCACCACCCAAAGCCAGCACGCCCATCCTGCAATTTGTGTGGCAGACTCAGGAATTAGGGGGCTTATAGGGGGTTTTAGGGGGTTTTAGTGGGGTTCAGGGGGTTAGGGGGGTTTAGGGGTTTTACGGAGTTAAGGGAGTTTTACGGGGTAAAGGGTTGTTCCCTGCAAGGTGGTCCCAACATTGATCTACCTAGAAACTTGAGTGTTTTTTGTTCAGGCAAACAAATCTTCAGAGTATAGGGTGTTTTTCGTTCGGAGAACTGGAACATGCCTTCATTGTAATTGTTGGGCCTTGGGTATGGCCAGACTGTGGACCCTTACGACAAGCTAGGTCTTGGATATGGGATTTATGACAAACAAGCATACTGTTTAGGGTTTGGGTTTAGGGTTTAGGGTTTAGGGTTTGGATGTCCGAAAAAAAAGTGATACCATATTATGGAATGAGGCCAACGGGACCCCAGTTCTCAGAACTGCCCACATCGCCCCCGCTCCCACCTTGCAACAATTGGTAGTTTCCCACAATAGGCGGACCCCAATAGAGGCCCCAATAAACTATAATCCTTATTCTGGGGATCCTCATAATGGTACCCCTAATTTTGGGAAAGCCTACACTCTCTATATCCCTAAATAAACCCTATAAAATTCCAGTTTGCCTACATGAACTCCATAGAACCATTATTAAACTCCCAATTGTTGTGCAGTGTGCTTGTCAGTCTAAGCCTTGACCCTAAGCCCTACGGTCGCCAGCATAGATTGTGCCCTTCTGAGTCAGCACCCCTACTGTCGAATTGATGATTCCTAGGGTTTAGCGTTTAGGGTTTAGGGTTTTAGGTTTTAGGTTTAGGGTTTAGGGCCTACCTCTCCGTAATTACCCACTCGCTAAACAAATATCCCAAATATTGTGCGGCGGAATCTTGTTTGTTGGGCCCCAGTATAGCATGACCCCTCATTTTTCGGGTACGTCTCCGAGAAGGAAGCAGAATTTTGACACCCCCTCGTGCGCAAGCTCTTTAAGCACCTTTCTTCCTTGATGATCCTTGCAAGATATACCTGTACTGTACTACTTCTCTTACAAACTACATTTACTTCCAGGGACTTGGCACATTTCCAAAATATGTCGTGCCGGCATTTGAAGCATGATGGCGCAGGAGCTTTGGAACACTCCTCCGAAGCAATCAGAGACGTTCTCAAGCGGCATTAAGAGGGGGGGGGTGGAGTCATTTTGGGATTCCCAGAAGCCCCAAGGCGTATTTA